GAGGGCCTGTCTTTCTCTGGGTCTTCTGTGGCCAATTAGACCTCATCAAAGGCTTTCTGAAAGACCAAGTACATCATACCCACTGGATTGTCCTTGTCCACATGCTTGTTGATACCCTGAAAGAATTCTAATAGATTGATGAAGCATCATTTCCCTTTATAAAAGCCGTGTTGACTCTACCCCAACATATCGTGTTTAGCTATGTGTCTGATAATTCTGTTCTTTACTATAGTTTCAATCAATTTGCTTGGTACTGAAGTTAGGTTTACCAGCTTGTAATTGCCAGAATTGCCTCTGGAGCCTTATTTAAAATCGACATTACAGTACCTACCCTCCAGTCATCTGGTACGGAGGCTGATTTAAGAGATAGGTTACATACCACAGTTAGTCATGGGAGTCAGCTAACTGTATCCATGAAACAGCATCTCTCTCAGCTAACTGTATACACAATCCAATAAGGTGAAATAACTGTTATTTCACCTTATTGGATTGTGTATATCAAACCCCTACCCTACCAGTGGACCTGATCTTGCCTGGCTTTGAGCACTTCTCTCATCTGTGCCTACCACCGTACTGTCTTTCAAGTATTCTCAGGTCCCATGAAATCAATGACTAAGTCCCCAGTGGACATAACATACAGTAGGTATTGGATGCAAGTGTGATCTACTGGAAGCTGATGGCACTCAGCAACTTTGCAAGAGATGCTCAAACCCTCATTTGCATGGCTGCAAGACTGAGTCTTAAGGACCCGATCCTGAAAATTGCTAAGCACCTTAACTTCCAAAGGGAGCTCAGTATCTCCCAAGATCAGGTTACAATCTTGGCTCAGTGTCCTAGATCACCACAAAATCTGTCAAATAATAGCCTTCTGTTCTCAGTTGCTGAAAAATTCCTTGTGTGAACCTCAGAAATCTACCATTTTGCTGACACTTCTGTGCTTTATAGTTTGCCTTCCTTAATGAAGTTCAACAGCTCTGTAGAGCAAGAGGCTGTGTGGGGATCTGGGGGAGCTGACAGTGGCCTAACAGGCTGTGGAATCTGTTAAAAGCACATGGAGGTTTGCCAAGATCCACTAGGCAGAGGGCAGTAGTCGACATGGAGAAGGATGGTCTGGAAAAGATGGGTCTATATAGATGGCTTTGAAAGGGACGGTCATCGAGGGAATCTCTGGAGACCAGTGTGGGGTTGGGGGCGGGAAATCTTTCATATTTAAAGTGGTTTTACAATCAAAGCCATATTGTTTTCCTCTTTAAAAGGGAATCTTTAACAGGTTATCTGCGAATACCATGGCTTTTTCAATATTAATAAAACTTCTGTGATCAAATTAGACAGGAATATGTAAATTGCTTTTCTATACATTTTTCATTGTCATCATTGTATTTTTAACTGATTCCTTTACGTCTTGATGCATTTACAGTTGATTCAGGCACTCTTGAAGTAATCATAGTTTCCAGAAACTGCCTGTTATACACCAACATTTCTCAATCCACATAACTAATGTATTTAGCCTGGAAGTAACTATTTCCTAAAGCAGTTTTTCTACCCTCATTCACTAGTAATAAGTATTCTCATTTGTAAAAAATTTGTTTAGTTTGTTATTTTACTCCAAAATGAAATTGCACTATAAATGTACAATAGAGCCACAGGATAATGTACTTCATGGTAACGCACTTTTAGGCTATGTACGCACTACAGCTTAAGTTATGTTGCTCAGAGATGTGAATAAACCACCCCCTGAGCGATGTAAGTTACACTGGCCTAAGCGCTGGTATGGACAGCGCTATGTTGGAGGGTTCTCCCACCAACATAGCTACGGCCACTCACAGGGGCTAAAGGACTTAAGTCAATGGGAGAGCTCTCGCCCATCGGCTTAGAGCATTTGAACTACCAGTGTTACAGCGGTGCAGCTGCACCGTTGTAAGCTCTCTAGTGTAGCCAGCCGCAGCCTTACTCTGAACTACTTTGGAACACATACTTGCTTTCTCTCCCCCTTCACCCATTTTTAAAATATATACCTCCTACACATGGACAGATCCAGAGTTATGGGATAGCCCTATTGAATTTAATAGAGATAACATCAATGGTATAGAAATGTAAATGTAAAAGCTTACAGAATTTAATTAATAGAGAATGATAGGTTTTTCTGAACCATCTTATCAATTGTTTAGCAGTGCTATAATTTTCTATTAAATTCTATAAGAATGGTTGAAAAAGCCTAGATAAAGATTACCTTTTTCGATAGGATTTAGCCATAAGAGCAGGTCCAGCTAGACTGCATGGATAGAGATAGGTAGTCTCTGTGGCCCTCTCCTCCATTAAATATGACGGTAGCTGTGGCTATATGTTCTAGAATTCTACAGATCACATTTAACCTGAAAATGCCTCGCCTTGGCTACCCTTGCCATAAAAGTCACTCTCAGTGTTCTGAACTGACCAGTTGTAGAGCGGAAATAATTGTTTTGGGGATTCCCAATGAAGTGACTAATCCTGCTATCATTGATATCAGTTGCAGAACTCACATTCATTTGATTGGGAATGGGATCAGGATTGTAGTGCGTGGGTAGGCAATGCTTTGGCATAGGAAGAGGAGCCTCCATCTGATGCCTTTGAAGGGCTGAGTGGGATTATAGAACATTATTGGGACAGGTTAGGACATCTGAATCCACCAAGTTCATATAGATTGTGTTACTGCCACAACTACTATCACACATGAACATTCATATGGCTGATCTCTGTGTGATCTCTCTTCCCATTCTAATTTTGCTTTGCAACAACATACAAAACAGCTTCTTCGTGGCTGTATGGTGTATCTTAACATGGTGACATGATAAGAAGAGATAAATGTAAACACTTAGGCATGGTATAGCCGTGATATTATATCAAAAGGATGTAATACTCAGGACTCCATTAATGCAAGTAATATAGATAATTTTAAGAACTTCTCAGTATTGTTTCAAAGAAATTCCCGGTAATTTTGGTATGTTGAAGTAATGAGCAGAGAAGAATTAACCAGAGAAGACCAGCAAGAAAGAGGAGAAAAAGTATATTTCCAAGCCCAAATTACAATATAAAATTCAAACTTTTGTCACTAATTTCAGTGGGAGGACTAGGTCCATGCAGTTATACCCTGGGCCCATACTGTACATACAATATTGGTAAGTTATGAATTTTGGGGGAAAAGGCTGGTTGGCATCTTTTAATATTGCTGAAATAAACTGGGCTTAGAATGCTTCTTCTAGTGGAAAATAACTACTTTCTGAAAAGGAGGGACAATCCCTGGCATGTACAAAATCAGAGATATTACCAAAAACTGGTGATAACTGAGAATCAGGGGGCCATGACTAAAGTGTTTGCCATTCAATGAAGAAAGTTACAGACTTACATGAATGTGGTTTTGTGTAACCACTCTAAATTTTCCAGTATTCCATATGATTTTCAGAATGAAAGAAGAATTCTGAGTGAGAGTTACCTGCTCAGATGTCAATAGTAATATGTTAGTTTTTCATTTCTTTTAATCATGGAAGCTGTAACTTGTATTTCTTGGGCTTTCCACACACACTGTTTAAATTTAATGTATAGTGGAATTAGGCAGCTTCTTTGTTTAAATAACATGCTCTCAGTGTATTCACTTGGGAAACATGGCAATTTTTACTTGTAAGTTTGGCAGTTATGTTGGCGAGAGTGAGCAATTTGTTTAGATCATGCCAGAGCGTGTGACTAAAGATATTTAAGTATGCTCCATCAGATACAATTTGCCTTTGTATTTTAAAAAATATAAATAATAATTAATAACTTTGTTAGATGTGCTCAGTTCTCAGATCCCAGGTTGAGTTTGCAGGACTGGCAGTTTAAAATAAAGTATTCCTTCTCTGTAACATGACCATCTGTGATAAAGCATTTGCAGATCAAATTAAGACTTCCATGACACCTGCACAGCCCCAGTGCTTTTTATTAGCTGGTATAATTGATTGGAACTTGCTAAATAATTTCTGTGAATGAGACACAGGAAGGCATAGCGTCCGGCTCACTCTCTCTAGGCTGTGTTAACAAGAGTAAAAAGCAGTAAAACCTATCTTTTTTTCACCGAAGTGGCTCTGAATACACATAGGGAACAAGTCTGTTGAGTAAGATGTTATTTTTACATAATCACTTTTCAGAAAAACCTCACATAAAAATTAAAGGTTAGCTTTAAATTAGATGCTGGCTCTAGTGAAACTCCAACCCTAAAGATAATAAAACCTCAGCAGGACACAATGATGTATTGGGGGAAGGGGAGGGAGAAAATCACAAGAGAAAGAAAGGATATTTTCCTTTTGCAAAAAAATTAACATCTCTTCACCTTCTGTATACTGACACTTTATTGTCAATTAAACTGACTTTTAAAAGATTCACCTGGAAGAATAATTTATCCTCAAGCTGCATATATTTGACTTCCTAGATACCAAATCAGTTAATGTAACCTAATTTACAGAGGAAACTTTATAATACCCACATGGATGGGTATTATAAATTTTCACACAAATGTAAACATTAACATGTATGCATCTAGAAACATTATTTGGGTTATCTCCAGTTTCCATCTCTGCACAATCATCTACATAAATCTCAACCAAAAATTATGTGCTTGATGGAGGAATTGCTGGGTGATATTCTATGGCCTATATTATGTGAGAGATCAGATTAGATTATCATTGAGTTCCTTCTGGTTTTATAATCTATGTACATACCAATATAACACCAAAGATAAGGAAGAAAAATCTAAACAGCAAAATATATCATATGAGACAATGTTCTAAGGGCATGAAACACATTGGACCGGAACCACAGCTGCTCTAAACTGATCAACTTCTGTGGAGTAGAGCATCACCCCCATTGTGTTTATTGCAACAGTAAATCAAATGACATTTGGGAAATGTAAATGTATCTTAAATGTGTCAGCAGGTTGTGCAGCCATCTCATCCTTGCAACACTTGAATGTAATTAAATTACTAATATCGTACCTTCCGGAGAGGTTTGAGCTTGGTCTCCATTATAAAGTCATACTTGCAGAGTTCACAACAGCGTGTATCTGAGCTTTTAATCCATTGGTGCAGGCAGGCCTGATGAACAAAGCGTAGGGTCCCTGTACAGCGACATGGTGTGATGAGGGGGCTTTCATCATCTCCCTCACAGTGACAGATCCTGACAGGGAGGACAGCAACAGATAGTAAGGGAGCTTTCCAAGGAGCAAAGCAAAAACACTGGTTTATTTACACTGCTTTTCATTCTCAGATTTGACATTCATAAGACTCAAGGTATGTGACCTTTTAGATTAGAGCCCAGAAATGCGTTCCTCATTCCCTTCTGACACTTTGAATTTGCTGTGTGATATAGAGATGAATCAGTAGAAATTATACTCATTTCCCTCCCCCCTCCCAGCTTTTGTATGACAAAACTTTTAGGGCCTAATTCTGTCACCTTACTCATGCTGAGTAAGTAGTATCTCACTCTGTGAGTAGTCCCAGTGATATTCTCAGCAAGGATGACAGAATCAGACCCCAAGTTAAACAGGCAAAGTATGAAAGGTATAGAAAGCCTACCCTGAAAATGGTCCAAGGGGTAAGGGAGACAGACTGGTGGATATCTTTAGGATTCATACAGTCCCCTTGGGAGAGGGTGAGAAGGGATTGGAAGAGTCACAGCCCTGTCTGTTCTCCATTCGTTTCTGCCCCTTTTGAGGTAGGTAGCTGCACTATCTGGAAGCACAAAGACTACAGCAGCAGCCAGCCTGGCTATGCCTACACTGCAGCTGGGAGTGAGCTTCCTAGCCAAGACAGACAAATTCATGCTAGTGGGGCTTGAGGTAGTGTGCTAAAAATAGCACGATAGAAACTGCAGCTCCAGCAGAGACTTGCATAGCTACCTGAGCTCACACTCAGAGCATCGGGTGAGTTTGAGAATCCAAGCTGCTATTTTTAGCACACTACCTCAAGCCCCACTAGCTTGAGTCTGTCTACCCATACTGGGAGGCTCCTTCCCAGCTGCACTGTAGATGTTGTGGGTGTTGTGTGTGCACCTTGTGGGGACTAGTCCTAGACGGTAATGGGATACAGAGCTTTTTTTACATTTGGATCTCTGTTTCAAATGTATTTGGAGTCAGTAGTGTCCTAAAGGTACTATTATTTGATGTCTTTTCTGTGACCTACATCAAATGACTTGGTGATCTTAGTCAGTTCTTAGTAAACATCTGTCCACATTAAAAACTAAACCAAAAACCACAATAATCAGAACTGTTACTTACTGACACCTTTGTTGACAGTGTCTCTAGAAAGGTTAAGAATTGTTCTGCAGGTGAACAGAGGACTTTGCTGTAGGACTGTTCATTAAAAAGAAGTTAAATTTCAACAACACTCACAAAAGCTAAATGGACGTCCTAAATGGCAAACTGAAAAAAATAAAAAGCCACAAGCAATGCATCAAAACCCAAACCACATCAACCTCAAAATAGAGAAGTGGTAACCACGGCACTTAGTCCTTCAGAGGCACATGAAGCTTGCAACAGGCAATTAAAATGTAGAAAAGGAACACTTTGTAACTCTTCTGCAAATTCTGTCGCTTATGTGAGAAAACCTAAAGAAAAACTTTTGCCGCAATATACAGACAACTATGTCCAGTCTGTTCCCTATGGGACTGTCAAGCTGGATTTGTTTTACACAGGGAAGGAGCGTCATATCCATCAGGATACATGAGCACTTGACATGAATTGTGAGAAGGGCTAGCAAAGTCTTGCAAATATGTTGCTATAACTATTGACTACAACAGTAGCAAATACACTACCTAGTCTATTGCCAGAAGAAAGAGGAAATTTGAAAGACAAGTAAGAGTTGATTTATGCCAAAAGTGCCATTGAAAAAACTCAACTCCCTTCCGTTTCTTTCAAAGGCCTGGCCCACAGCCATGAGAAAATTAGTCTACAAAAATGAAAAAGCAGAACAGAATCAGTCTTCCAGATGTACAGCCAGAAATGAAAACACAACTTAAAAAGAAAACAGTACATGAAATTGAGAACTGTCCACACAGTTGGTGATCTGATAATGGTGCCTAGGCACTACTCAAAGATACAAATCTTCACTCATGGGCACCATTTTAGGTTTTTGTACATGTTCAGGCAAATTCACATTCTACAAAAAAATCCATCCGTGTTCCAACCTTTGGGGGGGGGGATAGCTCAGTGGTTTGAGCATTGGCCTGCTAAACCCAGGGTTGAGAGTTCAATCCTTGAGGGGGCCATTTAGGGATCTGGGGCAAAAATCTGTCTGGGGATTGGTCCTGCTTTGAACAAGGGGTTGGACTAGATGACCTCCTGAGGTCCCTTCCAACCCTGATATTCTATGATTCTAGCCCAGCCAAACTTGACAAATTGAAGCCTCAGCTATTGTGTCCTCACTGTACACTGACTTTTTACTCAAAATCTCCCTTAAATGGCATTAATATTTTTTTTAAAAATGAATAAATAGCTATTTTGATACAGCACACACATTCCCAAGAGTTGATTAAAGTTTTGTGAATGCAGTTATGATCTTACCTTTTTGCTAATGGTAATTTGTAAGTCTTACTCTTTGCCAGTTTAGATAAAAGTTTCATCTCTGTCTAAAACATTACATAAAAAAGCAACATCACTTTCTTTTTAAATTAAAACCATTTTCCAAAGGGAAAATACAAGGCTTTGCTCATTTTAATTCCAGTTACATTTAATTTATTTTACAGCATTTAAGCCATTTAGAAATTAGACAACTAAATTGGGTACCCAAGAGTCTTTTACAACCATTGTTGAAATCGTTTTACATTATTATAAAAGCTAAAATATCAAGCTAAAATTCCATTGGGATCTGCAAATAAAATGACAGTACTACTCTGAAAGGAACAAAACTATTCTTCAGTAGAAACACTTAATACAAAACACTATCTGAAATATAAATTAAAAACATGCAATGAGAAAACAAACATTCTAGCAATAGAAATGATATCCAGAGGAAATTATTCTAGAAACAATTTTCACTATATTAAGTGCTCGTCTCTTCTGTGTATTTCTGTTCTGTTTGCAATTTATTTACCCATAAAAGATTGGCTTAGAATGATGCACAGCATGTCTTGCCTAAAGACAGAGTAAGTAAATGTGAATGTTTGGCTTAGGAGGATTTGAGCCAGCACAGCAATTGACCAGGCCTACCACTGCCCACCTACCCTGGTCATAAATTTCACCTTATAAAAGATTTTCTTCAAGGATGTTGAAAAAAATATTGCATAAAATAATTATAGCTGGAGGGCTAGCAATAGCTATATTTAAAGCTGCCAAAGTTTTTCCATTCTAGCCCCCCATTTTCTGATGCTCAAATTGCTGAAATAGCAGGTTGACATTTTGCAGGCCTGGTCTCTGCCTGAGGTTTTTTTTTATTATTATATATATATAATACAGCTGTAGATAGCTCTCCAGCTATAATTCAAATTTTACATATGTGTTATAGACACAATTATATAATTTAATATATAAATATGTCATTTGATTCTATAAATACCCCATTCCCACCCTTGGAAAGTTTGAATATAAATTGTTTGGGCACTTTTGAGATGAATTAAAAGGGAAAAAATATTCCCCCCGCCCTCCCAAAAAAGTTTTGTTAATTTTTGAACCGTTCTGATACTGAACTGACTGTGCCAAAGAGAGCAGGCTGAGTTCTTGGAAGGGTCCTAAAGGAGGAGTCCCAGCTGCCACTGACTTCCGAAGCTTTAAATTTGGCAGACAAATAGTCTTCATTTTGGAGAAATTATTTTGACTATACTTGGGAAAATCAGCTACTTGGCTGAGTTAGGTTCCATTTAAAAATCACAATTTGAACATGCACAGAATTTTTTCAAACAACGACAGTTCAATGTTTTAAAAATACCTGCTCATGGACAGAGAACTAATTTGGCTACAGTGTAAAAAATATACACAGTGACCGAGGCAGGGCTCCTCAGGAGATATGCCTCAATGATTTAGTTGCACTCTGATAGCAAGTGGTTTTATAAATATCTTGTAAGATCCACAGGACAGCAACTTTTAATTATGTATTTCCAAATTATAGAATTTATCCTTTTTTCATAGAAAAGCAAAATTAGAAAATACACACACACACACACACACACACACACAGAGGAAATTCCATATAAAATACTGTTAAGAGTATTTATGGTGGCATAGTTAACATTACTCCTTTGGCCTGTGCATTATATGAGTCACGTATTCATAAATTCATAGATTTTAAGACCAGAGGAGACCATTGTGATAGTCTAGTATGGCTTTATGCACAACACAGACCATATGACTTCCTTTAATTAATTACGGCTTCGAGCCCAATAGCTGTGGTTGAACTAGAGCAGGGATCGGCAACCTTTGGCACACAGCCCGTCAGGGAAATCCGCTGGCAGGCCGGGATGGTTTGTTTACCTGCAGCGTCCGGAGGTTCGGCCAATCGCAGCTCCCACTGGCTGCAGTTCGCCGTTCCAGGCCAATGGGAGCTGCAGGAAGCAGCACAGGCCGAGGGATGTGCTGATCCCTGAAGTAGAGCATATTTTTTAGAAAAACATCCAATCTTGACTTAAAAATTTCAGTGATAGAGAACCCACAACAACCCTTAATAAGTTGTTCCACTAGTTAAATACCCTTACTTTTAATAAGTTATCCTTTATTTCTAATCTGAGTTTGTTCATCTTCAACTTCCAGCCATTGGATCTTGTTATAACTGTCTGCTAGACTGAAGAGCCCATTATCAAATATTTGTTCCCCATGTAGGTACTTATAGATTGTATTCATGTCACTCATTAACCTTTTCTTTGTTAAATTGAGCTCTTTGAGTCTATAAAGCATGTTTTCTAATCCTTTAATCAGTATTGTAGCTCTTTGAACCCTGTCCAATTTATCAATATCCTTCTTGAATTGTGGGGCACCAGAGCTGGTCACACCAGTGCCAAATACAGGGATAATACAACTTCCCTACCCCTACTCCATATTCTCCAGTTTATACATCCAAGGATGGCATTAACCCTTTGGCCACAGCACCACATTGGGAGCTTACGTTCAGCTGATTATCCACTATGACCATCCCCCTCCCCCAAGTTTTTTTCAGAATCACTGGTTAGAGTCCCTGTGACTGTGTGTTCTT